CTTCTAGCCAGGGATATTCACTGTTTGCATCTTTAAAATTTCTGAAACATTTGATAAATCAAACTTCTGGAGTGCTTATGCGTACTTCTGCTCCGCCTGTTTCGACTACGGCTTCGTCGGCGATCGCGGCTGTAGCTGCGGTGTCTCGAGCGGCTTCTCTTGCGTGAATTACGTCGATCGCGTGAACGTGAGCGCCGTTTACTCCGATTTCTTGAACGTGATCGCGCTCGCTTGTGCCGAGATTGGGATCTTGAGCGCGATCGTGTTTGCTTGGGCCGAGATCGGGATCTTGATGGCGAGAAGCGTTGCTTCGGCGTGAAATGATTCATTGAAATCGCAGGGCCAAATGTTTCTATAAACATGATGCACGTTATTATGTAATCACTCTAAACTACAAAAACAGACAAAAATGACGAGACTATTCCAGGATTAAGCTGCCACAAGTATCCTGTTCCGGATTAAACCCCTTTTAGTAGCCAAACGAATTCAGGTGCAGTTAATAACTTTTAAACTTTTACACTTATGCAGTTCAAATTCGCCAAGCGCCGAGATCCAACACACCGGGGACAGTAAACAACTTCTACGCTTTTATGCTTATGCGGCTTCATGCGGAAATTCCACCAAACCCCATCACGTGGTGAAAGGAAATCAATGCAAAAATAAATAAAAGTGAACACAGGTGACCAGTGCAGAAATGTTAACTTCACAGAAATCTGAATAACAAACTACTATTTTAAAAAGTTAACCGTTATAAATAAACAGTGATCAGCGAATTACGTTTTTTTTGCCGTTAATTTCACCGGTAATTTTTATGAAATGATAAACTGCGGTCGTTAGAAGGCCAAGCCGTAACCTTAAAAGAAGTGGACGGTCCAAAAAAAAATGAAAATGTGGAACAGCCGGAGTCAGGAAGTTAAAAAAAAGGGTAAGATATCTCAATGTATTCTGGGAGTGGTACTATTTGGAGACGAGTTCATGGTGCTGAAAAACATGGCCCTGAATCATCATGTGGCTGAAGCTCAGCAAACTGTTTATGTCAGGAAAACCACTGAGCATTCCGATGATCAAGAAGGGAACGTCATGACTGCTACAGAATACTAACCTAGTAGAAAGCGTACCGGCTGCCGGTACGACGATGCGTTTTTTGCGCAGTTCCACCCGCAGGCTTTTTTCGCCAGCGGCACGTTCTTCCTGGCAGATGCTTCTAGCTAAAAGAATTGGGACTGGCCATCACAACCGTTAGAAATTATTACAGTGACTCCCAATCCATACCCTGAAGATCCAGTGCTCTAGATGCTTCGGTTGCACAGTTACGTCAAATTTCACATGTTCGTACGTGAGTGGCAACGTGAGTGCTTTCTTCGCCCGTATTTGCTCAAGCACGGTCCTGGGTAGCGCTCAGAAAGTTTCAGCATTCCAGCTGCTC